CAGGTTTAGCAGACAACAGAGTGACCCTTCAGTTATGGGATATGTGGATGCAGACTATGCAGGGGACTTGGATGACAGGAGGTCTACCACAGGTTATGTGTTTACTCTTGTGGGAGGACCTATTTGTTGGAAGTCCATGGTACAGCCTATAATTGCACTATCTACTACTGAGTCAGAGTATATGGCAGTAGCTGAGGCTGCCAAAGAGGCTTTGTGGCTTACAGGTTTAGTCAAGGAGCTGGGTGCCCAGCAAGGTGGAGTTCAATTGCATTGTGACAGTCAGAGTGCCATTTATTTGGCAAAGAACCAGGTGTATCATGCGAGGACCAAACATATAGATGTGAGGTTTCATAAGATCAGGGAACTGGTTTCTTCTGGTGAACTATTACTTGAGAAAGTTCACACTTCTGAGAATGCAGCAGACATGTTGACAAAGCCTGTTACTACAGACAAGTTCAAGCACTGCTTGGACTTGATTAATGTCTCTAGTTGCTAGATGGGAGATGCCTCAACTCAGCGTCCCCGGTGGAGTTCCCGAATACATGTCCTCTTTTTTTCTTCTAAGGGGTGAATATTTGCCAAGGTGGAGATTGTTAGAGTATGTGTGGCTCATATTTTGCTATGTGCATAATGGCAAGGAGGCAGATGCCGGAGCGGGCGGAGCCCGCGACGGCATCTGCCTTGCGGGATTTATATATAGGGGACGCTGATAAGTTGGGGGTGCGGGGGCAACGCCCCCGCGGTACGGTACAGGGGTTTTTTGTAAATACGTCCATATTAGGGTTATATAAATACTTAAGATGTAACCCTACTTCAATAAGGAATAGAACAGCCGCTCGCTCTCGTGGATGTAGGCACATTGCCGAACCACGTAAATCTCTGTGTGTTATTTTTCTCCTGCTTTCTTAATTGTTTGATTCCTTACTATTCACCATAATTGCTGCACGATCACAACATGTCAAGAAATCAGAAAGCTTTGGTTTGGTAGTTCGTTGGATTTACATCACAGTTTATGTAAGCTCAAGGAGATGACCACTAAAATCAGTTGACGCAATTTGGCATTTTTCAGCTGTCCTGGACTTTTGGACGCACGCTGTTTGTTTATGTTCAGGATTTGCTTCCTGCCTCGAGTGTTATATGCTAAATTTTGAAATGTGGTATGTTTTGTTGTCTAGGTTTGCATATTTCTTAGCTTCACTTTTCCAGGGATTTTAGGTGTTTAGCAGTATTTTTGCAGCTGCTTAGTCAATTAAGTAGTAGAAGTAACTTTAAATCTGATATTGTGTGAGATGTTGGTGAAACTACTGGATGAGACCTTTAGATTGCTTTATATCTGTGGTTTTTCGCTTCCTTTCTGGATTTTGAATATTCCCTGCAAATTGAGTAATTTCAGGACTAGCTTAGGTGCATCGACACCGATTGGTATCATAGGTGCTGTTTATATGTATTGCTCTAGCGAGAAGACAGAGTCTGGCAAATGGCAAAGCTAGTTCATCTGCCTATTGGGCTTTAAACGGAACTTCATTGAACCAATAGATGAGTTGAACAATGGGCTCCTTGAAGTGAGGGCAACAAGAGGAATTTTTGTAGTGCCATCTTAATGCATGCGCTTATAGTGAATAAATTACAATATGGGTTTCAATAGTCTGGAGGACGGATGGAAGCATATATTTGAGTAATCTGTTTGTTGCACTCTGACTGAGAGTTACATGTTCAAGCCGGCCTGCAAAGGATAATGTCCTTGTCAATGTCGCATTTACGCTATAGGCAACTCCTTTTTGAACGAGATGTCAGGAACTAAAATTAGAAATATAGCTGTCATCAGTTCTTGAGGGATATAGCATTAGATCTCATTATGAAACTCAAGAGATTCTGTTTATTGTGATGAAATGGGAAGTGGACCGGAAGGGTCGAGGAAATCCTGATTCAATTTACAAGATTCGAAAGTTAAAGAAGCTGCATATATTTCAGGACAACAGAGACTTTCCAAGGGGTTCAAAGAACCGATCTGGTGTCAGTCGGTTTCACCTTCATATTGTGATGGTGCTTTTTCCCTGTTGCTTCTTAGATACTTGTCAATGACCAGATCCTTAATGCATTATATATAGTCTTTGTTTTGAAGATCAAAGTATTAGGTAACTGCATGGTCAAATAATCAGCCAATTCATATGGAACTTTTTTGGCTTAATGAATTAAATTTTACATATAGATGTGTTAAACGTTTTATTTTTGAATGCTAAGTTTTGGAGGATTCTGAGGCATTTGTGTTTATGCATATGGCTGTTTACTGAATTTTCATCTGGAGGAGAAGATTGTAGAATTTTTAAATCTTCTGCAGAGATTGATTGCCATTGGTGAATAATAAGTCACTATCGGGGCTGTAAGTCTTGCTTGTTTGCTGCAGTGGAAAATCTTCAAATGTCACACCTTATCCTGTTGCAATGACAGTATTTTATGTGGTTGGTAAAGGCACTATGCTGTCAAATAAAATACACATGCATGATGCAACATAGGTAGGGCTGAAAGGTGTCTCTAACTAGCAGGTGGTTGTTTGTTTTCTTAATTCTTGTAACTTGCATTTTGCCCCTTTTTTATTTGAGTATTTAAGGTTGATGTGTTGTGATAGTGCCCCGCTCTTTCATCTGACGAATATAGCTTTTGAGACATATCTGTATTCCATGCCTATGATTCAATTCTCGATGGTACTAGGAAGTTGTTGAGCTTTCTACATTGGTTAAATCAAATTATGAATTTGATGAAAATCATTACCTTTTTTAGATTATTCTGTTGAATTCTCTCACTACCTTCTAAATCACATCAGGATTTCATGCGTTTATTAATTTTCCTATGCAGGTAACTTGCCAGTTACTTGGTGTAATCCTTGAGGAAAGTAGTCCAGAGGAGCTTCAGGTTGTGACATTTTTTTTCAAGTAACTTTGTGCATAAATCAGAATTCTGAAAGTGATTGACTTTGGTCTTTATGTTGTTCTTGGCAGAAACAAGCAACTGTGAAATCATCTGTACTGGAAGTGCTGCTTGAGATCACGAAATTTTGTGACTTATATCTAATGGAAAGAGTTCTGGATAATGAAAGCGAAGTGCGTGACCCATAATTTAATGAGTTTAATGAAATTACTAAGCGAAGTGCGTGATATCTAAGTGAAATTACTACGATAGTGAGTTTAATGAAATTTTCTTTGATAGATAATTAATCTTACGATTCAGACTTGAGATGGTGAAAATTGGAAGTTAGAGCATTAATTTACTTGCTCGAGACCCATAATCTTACGATTCAGGGATCAGTCTTTCGTTGTCGACTTATTTTTGTTACGATGCTTTCGAGGGATCATGGACCTCCTGCTGGTTTGTTTGAGGGAACTGGACCTCCTTGTATCAATTTAGTTGATAGATATATAATTCTTGTTTCTTTATTCATAATCAAAGGCTCCTATAAATAGAGTTTATAACTTAAATCCTACTGAAATAAAAATATCTAAACTTTAGCTAAACAAGAAATTAGTCTTTTAGCCGCGAAAATTATTGCGGCTAAATGCATAAAAATTGCCACCGTATATTTTAGTGACAATATTTTTATTGCCACTAAGCCGCGATAATATGTGTAGCTAAATCATTTAACTATGACACTTAATTGTTGTCACTAAAAGTAATTTTTTTAGCCGCACCATGAAAAATGCCACTAAATGTGAAATATTTAGCCGCCATAATTATTGCAACAAGTAAACTAAATTTTGCCACTAAAATATACTGTATCACCACTAAAAGTCCGATTAAAACCTGACTTTTAGTGACAACAATTAATTGCGACTAAAAATATACATTTTACCCACAATTAAAATCACCACTAAAATTTAAAACATAATTTTTTGACAACTTATTGTCGTTACTAATTAATATATTAAAATAAACAAAGAAACCTATAGCATATTTGAAAAAATTTATTTTTTAATATTTTCAAATTTCATGTACCTTTTTATTTTTATTTTTTTATTTTGATTGAAATCAAGTATTACAAGAAACATATTTTACAAGAATCAAAACAATGAAAAGCCTAAAATTCAAGGCTTTAATCACTCCAAAAAAAACCCAACCAATCTGTACAGTCTTCAATCCCCCTGTCCAGAGACATGAAGAGGCAGTATAACAGTTTTCTTCCTTAAAACTTTGGTACCCTGCTGATCTAGTTACTGCAGCTTCCTGGCCCGATCAGAGATTGCTTTCTAAAAATTCTAACCAATCTCAACATTCTCACCACTGGGCCTTCATTTCTTACAAGCTCAAAACCAACAAAATCAGCTAACTTTTCCCGATCTCCTGCCAGCCCAAGCATTCCTCTACATACTAAACTTGGTTGTTAACCACAGTTCCGTACGGTTAGGCTTCTCTCTAGTCTCGGGATCACGCTAATATGCATTAAACATTAATAGAAAAACTTTACATAAATATGAAAGAAATAACACTAAAACATGAAAGAAATAACAGTAGCCATTCAACAAGCAGCTTCATTCAGTAGCCATAATTAATTAATTAATACACAAGCAGTCCAACATAGTCCAAATCAACAAGCAGCTTCATTCAACACAGTCCAAATCGACAACACAGTCCAAACAGCTCAAAATTACAGTCCTAACAGCTAACAACACAGTCGTAACAGCTCACAATTTTTTTATGTGCAGCCACAAGAAAAATATAAACTGCAACACAGTTGACTCCTTGGTCTACAAACATCCCCTTTTCTGAAAAAGGGGCTTAAACTAAAAAGACTTATCTTGATTGTCTGAAAAAATTCCACAGCAAGAATAGGGTCAAACGATTACTACAGCTTTGGCCAGATTAAGAAAGAAAGAAAGAGAGAGAGAGAGAGAGAGAGAGAGAGAGAGAGATCACTACTTGTTTTTTCTTAATTTAAATTAGTTTCAGTGTGCATACCTTGAAGTCCACAAATCCAAAATAACCAATAAGAGTAGCCTAGCAATTCGGGCTCACATCCGGCGGATAATTTGAAGTCTAATCTCATCAGTGGCATATTTACAATAATAATTCTTAAGCAGCCTGTGTTTTAGCTGCTGGTATATAGCTTCCTCAATGCAAGAGTCTTTTTTGAGAGTGAACTTTTGCTGCACAATATTACATAAGAAAGTAAACAAATGATGTAAGATCTAATGCCAATGAAAAACCACAAGATTACATAGTGTCTTCTTCATCTAAATTACTTACCTTCGAAGCATACCACATCTTCTTCTTATCATCAATTGGGATGGCCTTCCATTTGATGATAAAGAAACTGTAACTAGAAAGTACTACATGTCATAAAGAAACTGTAACTAGAAAGTACTACTGTAACTTTATATGCAAAGAAGGGGGAAGTAGATTAGAATAAAGGAAACACGTGAAGAAAGTTAAAAGGTCACAAAGGCATCAAAATACGTTTTCATAGTCTGAATAAATTATTATTATTTTTTTAATTTCTTTCGAGTTCTAATGTATTCACTTGATAATAAAAACATATGTAAAGTAATGGCCAACAAACCTTCTTAGTCAGGAATATCGACTATGCCATGAGTGCCCTCTTTATGTACCCATCAACAAAGAGAAAATGGACAATGGAAATGGTCCTTTTAGTCCTTGCAAAGAAGAAATGGACAACGGAAATTGTTCTCTTAGTTCACTTGCATGGCATCAAGTCAAAATTATAATAGAAATCAAAAGTAGTAGAATAGTCGTACTGGATGTTTCTTTGGTCTCAAAACTAGAGAAGCTCTAAAATATTTAGACAATGATGGTCTTCCAGTCTTCCCAACTGCCTTTCATATGGCTATGGCCGGTAGATATTTGCCTTTCACATGGCTAATTACTGGCAGTCCCATGTCATAAACTAAGGACACTCTTTCAAATAATAAAAGGTATTCAATTCAATGCAACACTTAGCTATCTTGAAAGAAGAGTCGCAAGACAAGTTCAAAATTATCGTAAAAAAAAAAAAAAAAAAAAAAAGAGAACCTCACTTACCTCCAAGCCTTTGCGAGTCACCGGCCTGTTAACCACCATCAGCAGTAGACCATGTAGATAAACCATCAACATAATACAAAATTACAATACATCTCTGGTCTCATGAAAATGGCACAGCTTATGATACCGAGACCATATTTACTTGAACTAAGATTATAATATTACATATTCAGGGACTAACTAATTTATTCTCAGGAGTCCAGAGCCAGGGGAGTCATAAAAATCATTCAGAACAACTACATGCATACGGTTCGTTTTGTTTCCAATTAGCTCAACCTCAATTGAGTGTTCACACGATCCTTGCATTAATTATAAAATTTTCTTTGTTTGGGTCAAACCACATAGTCATGAAAGGCTGATTGAATGAATAGAACTTTGCAATGGTTGAAAGCAGAGAAACAACAAAATACAAAAAAATTCCTAAACAAAAACTTTAAATTTCCATCGAGAGAGAGAGAGAGAGACGAGACGAGACTTTTCGTCGATCTTGTGTGCGAGGGATATAGCTGAGGATCTAAACAAGTATTCAACAAAATTAGATCTATTGAGTTTCCTGTACCGAAACCACATCTCACAACATAAACTTTAGCACTTTTGCAAAAATTTCATCGAACATTATAGTCAGAAAGTCCTAGGTTCCGTCTATTCACTATAAAATACCGCCAATTCAACACAAACTGCAACCAAAATAAAAAATTAAAGTCACTTGTTGAATCCATAAAATAAAGAAGGATACATTTGTCTCGTAATCACTCGACCATGAAATTACACTCAATTTAATAGACATGAACATGATATCAAGCATTTCGAGGGACAGAAGCGAGAGATTGATGGGAGGACAAAAAATCAAAGATCTAAAAGCAAACTCTACCTTGCAGTTCTTCAACACAAACACAATGGTGGGCGGAGAACGATGACGCAACACACCAGATGCTCGAACGGTCGAGGGCGCCACCATTGAAATTTCAGATCGGGAGAGTAAATACTCGTGAGTTTTGGGTAAATATAAAGCGAAACAATAGCGTGTCGTTACTTCAGACTAAAATTTTGCCAAGAACTTTTTATCGGTAGCAACTTTTACTGTCACTAAATTAACGTACCGTGGCAGAAAATAAAAATTTTGCTTAAAAAAACGCATATTTGCTGCAAGTAAAAAATTTTAAATTATTAGTGGCTAAATTTAAATTATTGTCACTATATATGTGGAAACACCAAGATCATTACTGGCAACAAATAATAAAATTAATGGTGAATTATTGATGTATTTTTTCTGCAACATTCGAATTGTCGCTAATTGGATTCACTATCACATCTTCAACGACAACGTTAATTTTTCTTCACTAATTATATATATATTTAGTGGTAACATTTTTAACTACAATCTAAATCTTGCCGCTAAAAGTCCAATTTCTTTATAGTGTAAAAAAAACTAAAGAAATTCTACTAATAATAAAAAATCCTACAAAGTAGCTAGGGTCCCACTATTTTTCTGAACCTCTCTAGAAAAGAATAAAATCATTTAAACTACTACATAAACAACAAATATATATATATATTCGTATTAACTTCCTTCCCCTTAAAAATCACCCTTGTCGTCAAAGGATAAAAATGGGGATATCTGGCCACAAACTCTTCCGTTCTCTCCCACGTGGAATTAGTGGGTAATGTGTTTTGTCAATGCAGCAAAATCTCCTTTTCTCCCCTCATGCCCCGCTTGACCAGTACAACTTAAGGCTTTGGAATGATCATAGTGCCACTGTCATCAAATGGAGGCATCTCCAATTGTGACGAACAGTGGCCCCAACCTTCTTCTTCAGCAAGAAGACATGAAATAGTGAGTGAAGCTTACTGGTGGGCAGCAACTGCAGCTTATAGGAGATCATTGTCGACAGCTTCTGATTCCTTTGTTGGGCTAAGGTCAGCTGGCGATAAGGCTTTCAACTTAACATATGCCCAGTCACCCACTTCAAAACTTTTCTCAACGTGATTCCTATCATAAATTACCTTCGTCCTGTTCTGAGCCCCCTTCAACTTGGCTTTGGCTTCTTTGGGCACCTTATCCATCTCTTAGAGAGAAATTTATCTACTGAGTTAACAATAGCCGTTCCATGAACATAGGCCAAGAGAGAGGGTGAGTTTTGACCGCAGAGGATTTTAAAAGGGGATTTCCTAAGAGTCAAAAAAATACTGGTATTATAACAATATTGGACCCATGGAATCCACTTGGACCATTTCTTAGGCTTAGAGCTCATCAAACAACAAAGATACATTTCAAGAGTTCTATTAAGTATTTCTGTTTGACCATCTATTTGGGAGTGATAGACGGAGCTAATATTAAATTTCAACCCATTCAATTGAAATAGCTCCTTCCAAAAAACACTCATAAAAATCGGATCTCTATGACATATTATGGTCTCCAGCATACCATATAGCTTAAAGATTTAATCAAAAATTATTTGAGTTACTATAGAGACGGTGTAAGAATGGACAATAGGAATGAAGTGGCCAAATTTAGATAGCCTATCGACAACCACAAAAATAGTGATCTTACCCTTAAGAGTTAGGGAGTCCTTCAACAAAGTCCATGGGGATGTCAGTCCAAACGTGCTTGGGTATAGGTGGTGGACTCAAGAGACCCGCAAGCTTAGTGGGCTCGGTCTTATGCGTTTGATAAACCCCACATTTCCGTGTGAAATTTTGAACTCCACACTTCATTCCATTCCAATAAAAAGTAGCTCTAATGCGATGTAATATCTTATGAAGGCCCTCATGTGTGACGAAATGATACTCATCCATAATGGATGGAATTAGAGAAGATTTTTCTCTTAAATAATTCAATATTTTGAGAAAAGAATACCTTCTTTGAAAACCCATGGTCTGAGTGCCTCTCCCTCCAAGATTTTCTTGACCAATTCTTGTAATTCAACCTCCTGTTTCACTTTAATTTTAATGGGCTCAATCCAATGAGGAATCGGTTGAGAGAGAGCCTTTAGTTCGCCTTCGAATCTTCTTGATAATGCATCTCCCACCGAGTTCTCCTTCCTTTTTTTGTACTTTATTTCGAAATCATATTCCTTCAATTTATCTAGCCATTTTTGCTGGACTGTGGTGGTAATTGTTTGACCCAAAAGTATTGTAAACTTCGTTTATCCGTCCTTACGGCAAATTTGGGGCCTAAAAAATATGGCCATCATTTTTGTACTTCACTAATTGATGCTAACATTTCCTTCTCAACCTTAAGGGCTTGGCTAAAGCAAGCAATAGATCTATTATGTTGCATTAAGACTGCTCCAAGGCCCGTACCAAATGCATCACACTCCACTACAAATGATATGAAAAAATCTATTAGAGTTTAAACCGACCCTTGTGTCACAGCATTCTTGACTTTTTGAAAGGACTCTTCAACCGGGATATATCCATATCAATTGAAGGGTCCAATGGTTCACAAAAACTCTTCGGTGTACCGCATTCCACAGTCATATTGACGTTAGAGTTAGAAAAAAGTTACAAATTAGAAGAGGTGACTTGTACACGGGAGTCCTCTCTTTTCAAGTAATGGGAGGGTCAAATACGCAATCTTACTAGCGCAGGTAGAGTCTGTAACTCAGATCCACGATGTGTTGATATTTTCACAATTATATTATAAATATTGATTTTGCGAAACTTTTTTTTTCCTGTGATTGTGCTCTTTAATTGTTTTTAAATTCAACGTAAAATAATTAGATACAATTATTCATGCTTTTTTTTTTAAAATAACTTTTTAAGTAAAAACAATTTTAGTACTATGTATTTTATGAAGTTTATATAGATACTTCATAATTTATGGAATGAATTACACTTTGTACCTAGCAAAATTTTAAAATTTTTATTTTATACCTTCAAAAATTAAAATTTTCATATTATACTCTCAATGTAACGAGAGTGTTGTGTAATGTAACATTTTTGTTACCTTTTCGTGTGTTTTTCTGTCAATGTGTTAACTTTTGAAAAATAATACAAGTCTATGCATAAACTTGGACAAGGAAAAAAACCACATTAAAAAAAAAAAAAGAGAAGATGCAAAACTAAACTTAACAACTCATACAAATTCTTCAGAAAAATGAATCACCAATTTCACAAAGTTAAACCCTAACCCCCCACCTCACACAAAAAAAAAGAAAAAAGTAAAACATGAAAGAAAGACTTTAATTAGTTGATAAAGGCACAACGTTTCCTGATTTCACCAGACTTGCCAGTAAGAACCCCAATCTTACCCATCTTCACCATGGCAGGTCCAAAGTCTTTCAGAAAAGTGGATCCACTTGAAATCTGACTCAGAACATAAGCTTTTGTTTCACTGTCTGAGAGAAGAGCTCCATCAGATTGAAACAGTCCTCTTCTTTTACTTACTATACTGTAATAATGAGTGTCAAATGTTTTGCGGCTTCCAGGATCCATCTCAACCAGCGTAGTCAAATCGCTCGGTTTACATATTTTTTTCAACACAGCTGCATAGTTTGGATCAATTGTTGGGTCAGTGTCACCTTTGCCAGTGAAGTTGTACAATCGGATCGTGACAGCGGGAAAGCAGTGAGAGATCCCTATGGTATGGGCTCCTGTAAGAACAAGTATACTTGAGTCAAGTTAAAATTTGACATAGAATATTATTGATCCTGGGGGACTTTGATCTGTAGTAAGTTTTACATTACCAGATAGAACTGCAAGGTCTTTTACACTCAAACCCTTTGAGCCAAAAGATGCTTCAAGTTGAGTTATATTGGAAAATGGAGATGGTATGTTATTCAAGGCATTTTGGGCCGTTGACACTCTTCCATCTCTTCGTCCCGTGGGCACTGGCCAATATGGTCCTTTGATCTGGAAGAAAATCACGGGTTTAGTTAATAGTTACATAAATGTTGGTTTAGAATAATATAGGTATCGTTTTGTAAAGCTTTATAGGAAAACTGTTTTCTTAAAAAATTTTATTTGACGAAGTGTAATCACTTATCAGACAGTATAGTAACTAGTGTATGGTGTTGGTTACCATGGAAACTGCATCTCGAGCAACTAAGGCCAAGATGTCAGCACAAGAAACAACTCCAGGACACTCGTTTTCTACTGCAGTTTTGACACCATCAATCACTTGAAACCCTCTTAAACTTAAGTCGGGGGCTGAATCTTTCTCGGCTACGTTGTTCTTGGTGGAGTTTATGAGAACAGAACCATCACATCCCTGCAACCAAAATGTGTGAACGATTCATCATATAAAACTATAAACTTTAATCGGGGTTGGGAAGAACAGATTATATATATATTTGGCATTGTTATCCCAAAGTGACTGATCTCATGTTCGAACCCAAAAAAAAAGGAAAAATGCAAAAACAAACAGAAAACAACGTATGATTACGTTAACAAAACAGTCATGAAAATGCATTCTTAGCAATGCAGGGGCAAGGCTTGGTGCTCGAGAAATGTATTGAGCTGTTGTAATCTTGATAATGGCCTCGGCGGAAGGGCAGGTCTGCTGGTAGAAACCAATTTTCAAGCCTTCAGCATTTGGAAGGTCCAAGACAAAAACAACAAGAGCTTGGTGAAGAAAGATGAGAGAGAGAAGCTTTGAACTTGTCATTGTCTTCAACGACGAGCCAGTAATATATTTGATTCTGTGCTCTGAAATGCTAGAAGACACATCAAACACTAGTATTTATAGTTAAGCTAAGGGTTCAAGATCAATACAATGCTGCCATTGACACGGTACAGGAAGTCATTGTTAATGTCAATTTGGTATTGTTGATTTCTAACAAACTTTTAAAGAACTCAGTTAGAGTATGTGTGACTCATATTTGCTGTGTGCATAATGGCAAGGAGGCAGATGCCGGAGCAGAGCCCGCAACAGAGACGAACTGTAAATACAGACGTTCTGAATTTTAATTTTTGCAATCATTTAAAACCAGGTCATAAGGGATTGCCCTAATTCCG